ATTCAAACAGTTAACGAATCAATCGGCGTGGACAGTTCAAAACTAACACCTGCTTAGGTGGAGCAGATCGACATTGTAATGGAGTCAGTCCGCATGGCGTAATTGTGTGCGTCTCTGGCAGCAGATAGCATCCTTTAAGAAATCGATCAATCAATCAATCCGGTCACAAGCATGTATGATAAACGTATCAGTGATTTGTGGGGCACAGTAGTGATTAACTATAATCGTGGGTTTATGTCAAATAGCCATTCTTTCGGCATCACCATTTGAGTGTTATTTCCCATCACTGTTCCAGTGGTTGGCTATCAACCACTAATGCACTAATACGTCGGGTGTATGTCGTTTATAACCAGCAATTATTCACCATTATGAGCAATACGAACAACTCACCTTTACAGAACACTTCTTTGCCATCCCATTTACCGTTTGGTAGGCATTTTCTGGTCCCCGGACCTTGCATCTCAAACCCCTCGTTACAGTGAAAATGGACGACACTGTGCACGCTCACAGTGTAGGTGGATAGACCGCCATTGGATGGGGCATCCAGCCGCGGACATGTAATGGCTGCATTTGTATAGGGTAGGAAAGAGTGCGAAAACAACTTTCTTAGACAGTGTTTGTTATTTATCCTTTGCTTTGATCAATGGTAAACAACAGTCTTGGGATGGGATCATTAGATATTGAACAATCCCTTCAACGTAGTCGGAAATTATACTTCCTGTGGATGAACAACTACAACCTGAAGTTTACTCTCTCTCATCCAAGAGAAACGTCGAATGAAACTAAATAGAATACCAGAATAAAATGGGTAACTCGCTTAGAACTATCTAGATATCGTTGATCATTGATCTCCGATTCACAGTTGTTGACAAAGGAAGAAAGAAATAGTTATTGTGGACAATAAATGAAAAATACAGATTAAATTAAGCTCAAAAGTTGTCGATATCAACATTCACTTACAGTTCAAGTAGCGTTTAACAGACATCGAAAAATGTGACACCGATGCAAATAGAACAATCTGCTTTATCGAATTTTCTTCACCAACAGTTTGATACTTTGCTCGGGGTTTGCAAATTTCCAAATATGATATTATTTTGGAACTAACCGGCTCGTTTCAGCTACAACGTACCGATGAGTTTACCTGTTCTCGATCTGTTCATCGGCATCAGTTCGTTTACTCCGGCTTGAGAGAGAATATATCATCCAGCCAGTAAAAATAAACAAATTTTCGGGGGGGGGGGGGTAGAAACTAATCGTGGAATGTATCTGTAGTTTGATCGATCAAGTTTTTGAAACTAACGGTTTGACAAATGGAGCATGAAGAAAAAGTCCTCACGCTCGATGTTGTTACGTGATCGAATTGATTGATCAAGCATTGAACGGCTGGTGTTCTGTTTGGCGAGAGATTGTTTGCGTATTGCCACTCCCTGGTACAAATCGTTATGTGCGACTATTTGGCCAAATAGAGGTATATATTATGACATGCCCTAGTAAGCCCAAGTAAACAAATCAGTACGAAAGGGAAATTCGTGAACGAAGCCTAAAAAATTGTGTGTTGAATGTTACACACACTCAGCAAATGGATCGCAAAAGCTACACGTAATACATTCATCCTCCTCCGGTGAGTGCTTCTCTGTCTCAACGGTACTTATCAGAATTACACATACCTATCACCTGACCAGCTCTGCATAGTTTCGCTGTACTGTCTCAATAACGTATCATATATTACATTACTAAGTTATGCGGTATGAGAATGGGATTAAACCTCGAAACACCAGATGTGTGTTTGTGAAGTATTGTAAGTAAAATGAGCTAGAAAGAGAGGGAGAGATAGTTTTGTGAACGAACAACCGGGCCTCACGTCACTCCATTTCAGTGGGTAAGAATCCGTTAACATTTGAATCAAATCCAGACAACAATTCGTGCCACGAATACAAGATGAATAGTTATGCAAGAGAGCGAAACTGTTCACAAAAATAGTGTCCACTCGACTCGGGGATAGGAGGGGGGGGAGGAGGATAGCAAACGAGAAGGGAACTGAACCGGCTTAGTGAATCCCGCATAGAAATCCTTATTCATGTTTGGAATGTATTTTATTTGTTTTGCTATTGCACAGAAAAAAATATTCTATAATCAGGCTCTCGTGCAGTTCAGTCATAAAACATAAAAATAAAGGTGTGAAGCCCTTGTTATGACATTATTCATCTATGTAGTGTCGTGCACAGATCAGAAGCAAAGAGAGAGAGAGTGTGTGTATGTTATGAATTGACCCTGTTACCAGAATTATAATCAGGAGAGAAGGAAACGTGTTGAAACGTGGAACTTCAAACCAAGCACCCAGTACGTGAGGGCCGAAAACAAGACCAGGTGACAATGTTTTGATTATACACGACTATGCCGAGCAGCTATACAACGGTATCCTCCGACAGCATCTGGAATAATGTGTGCACACTTGGAGTCCGTTTGGTCAAATAGACTAACATACTGCAGAGGGAAAAGCCGTGAATGCAAGAAATGAATAACCGGTTTTTTGACAGTGAATTGTTGAGAATCACGAATGTGGAAAGACTCATATCTAATCTCGTGAAGTAACGCAGAATAAGATAGAATCATTTATTATTGCTGTCTAAGAATACACAGATGTATTTGATGATGCGCTCCATTCAACAAAGACAAAATGTTCTGATGTTCTTCAAATGACCTCATTGTAAGGGGTGATGTACTAGGGCTGAGCAAAATATGTCCAGATGCACAAACATTTTTGCTTGTTAACACAAAAATAAGCCATACAATTCTTCGAACGACTCTTCAATGGCATTCATGCACGGTTTCGTGCGCACGAATCAGCTCGACAATGCCGAGGCGGGTAACCCCGTCGAGCATTCAAGTGAAGGTCTTCACTGCAGTTGCTGGTGCCACGTATAACATTCCACGCGTCATGCGCTTGACATTTAGACACACTAAATCTCACACTCTAACCAGGTCTGAATTGTAGAGCCGGTGACCAACCTCCCGGATGCGTTTTCTAGCCAGAAAATTGTCGACAACATAGGAACTATGTGCAGGTGCGTTGCCATTGTGAAGTAAGTTCCGTCATGCTCGGGTCCTTGGATCATCATCATCATCATCATCGTACAGCGAAACACGGTGAAGCGAACTTCACTGATTGCTGCCAAACTCGCAATGCATAGACAATTAGTGGTAAAATTTAAGGTGGACAGGGAATGGATCTATTTTCAGGAAGGGAGAAGGTGAGCCACTATGGTCAACACATTGAGTACGCAATCGAACTCTGCATACATATCTTTTCAAGCATTCTGACCTGATAAGAAACGACAACAAGAATGCCACTGCTGCCATATCCTTCAATGTCTCCAACCAACCAGTTGTGGAGTCTTTCGGACCCCAACCTGGAAGTCGAGAGACACCTACTCTATCTAATGGCTATGTGCATTTCTTCTCCACGTCATCTGTTGATCTCTACGCGGTTTCCTCCAGCCCGGATTAGCTACAGCGAATNGGTGCGGCCGACGACAGCTGGGCATACGCAATACGTGCCGTAGCCAGCGATGTCTTTGGATGACGCCTGGCAACAGCTTCTGACAATTCCGACATACGGTAAGCGCGGTACCAGTCTACGGTTTAATGTGCTTTGCCCTGCCAGTGGTATAGTAGCCACATGAACCGCACTCATTGAACAATACTCATGATAGATTACAATTCACGTTTTCCTGGCTCCGTCATCTGCACCTCTTATTCGTGTACTGCATCTGAATGCACACAAACAGTGGGGAATTAACGATCTCCCAATGAGTGAAACCCATACCGAAGACCATCAGGAGTGCCTCTGAACAATTGAATGGGCCAATCCAAGCTTGATGCTCCAAAATATCAACTTTCCCGTCTAATGCATTTCAGAGCTATAGTTTTCGCACATTGTGCAAATAATGATTGTCATTAGCAAAAAAACCGCTGACATTGTTCTTTGATTGAAATGCTTGTATACATGGATTCCGGTTGCAAATGCATACTTTATTACTTCACAATGCTAACTCAGTCTATCACCATACCCAACAATTAAGAGATAAGGTTCTCGTCTCCACGGGAAATTAATGAGTTGAGGAATGTACTGGCGTGAGTTTGGTCAAGTAAAGTGATAACGAGAAATCAAAAGATACATGTAGTTCCATGTATTCGCCAGACTACAGTGAACAGAGAAGGCTTTCACTGTCCTCTAAGCGGTTCCTTTAATGTGGCCAGCACGACAGAAGCACGCATAGACGCACACATACACAAACACAAACACATCGATCGAACAAAACGTAATTGTTTATGGTCATCACACCGCAAGCATTTGATATAAAACTGAATAGACCTCGTATGGTTGGGGGGACAGATGGAGAGGAAACTATTGGCCTCTTTAACCCTCTCTGTATTGATACAGTTACAGCCGGGGAAACGCTTAATCATTTTTTTGTAAACTCAACTGGCAGTCAATATTGCCAAGCTAGCCGTGTGCATGGGTTCAACTAAATGGTACATCAAAACAACCGACAATGAATTATCAACCAATGTTCGCTATGGAATAGTTATCACGCAATGGGTCGCATCATGTTTCCAAACTTTGTAACTTTTAGACACGATTAAATAACTGGCCTGATATCTGTAGCATGGATTGAATGGTTTTGACAAAATAGTGCTTGGTTTTACACGGAAAATAAAAGATGGAAATTATTTATTGTTGTTTACCCCGAGAAACGGTAACTGCTCATGTCTGCTGTCTACACCCGTGACCAAACAGTCTTAAAAAAAATAATTAAAAACCTTTCTTATCACAAACAATGCTGTTAAAAAATCAAAACCCAGGAGTACAAATCGTTCGAGGGAGAATATTCATTGGGACTTACGTTTACACTCAGCATCCTTGCCTGACCAACGTCCGTCTGCTTGACAAACACGTAAGCAACCTGTTTCCAAATGAGATCAGAAGTTTTGATTACATCCTTTTTTTGTTTCGTTTTGTTTAGTCACGGATCATTCACAGAGCTTAGCAGTCTTTCAGACGAAAACAAATTTGAAATAGTGAAAGCAACCAAAGTGAGCGCTCGACCAAATGTGGTGGGTTACACATTGTTTTTATTTTAGTTGTGGAAAACGATCCGACTGGCGAGTTGATACTACGCACCCAAAAGATTACTGCATTCTTCTCCCTAGCTTGCTTGTGTAATACTTTTATACCCGTATCCATTATCAATCCAATTTTTATTAGCGGTTAAGAAGGGGCTAGAAAATGGACGGATGCACGTTCTGTGAGCAAATACAAGACATCATCATCATCAGCGTACAACGTAATACAGTGAAGTGAATCTCACCAATCGCCGCCAAACGCCTAATGCACAATAGGTGAGTGAGAAAGTGTAAAGAGGATATGGACTTGGACATATCTTTAGGGATGGGAAATGAAAGTGAACTCCTATGACAAACACACATTAACTGTGCATACGTAATAATTCAAATATTCTGGACTGATAAGAAGTGTGGGCAGGATTACCACTGCTGTCAGTATCTCCAACCATCCAGTTACGGAGTCTTTTGGACCCCATCTCGGAAGACGAAAGACATCTACTGAATCTAATCGCTCTGGGGATTTCTTCACACCTCGTCTCCACATCATCTGCTGGTCTCCATATGGATTTCTCCGGTCTGCAAGTTCCACTGCAAACAAAGTGCAGTGTCGTAAGTGAATGTGAGACATATGCAAAACCAACGAAGGCTATGAAACTGAATTTGATTCGATTGTCAATTCTTCCTCGATGTGTTCTCTGACAACCGACCACTTACTTCTAGGTTACTAACTTTTTCTTT